ATTTTCATCGCCTATGCGGTTTTAGCTATATTTGTATTTAGCCAAAGATATTGAGTCTACTTGAGATTACCACTTGCATAACTCATGTAAAAGAAGACACTAGATGTATTATGACTATGTAATAATACAAGCTTTTTTTATTTTCTCCTCTGACACCCATCCCCACCCAGTGGCTCAGCGGCAAGTTTGAGGGTTTACAATGTTAACATTTAGGGTTTGATATCTGTGGTGACATGCACAGTGCACATAGCCCATGGTGCATCTTTGGGTTTAAAAAGAAATAAACAGCGCTTTCCCTTTTTCGTGGCATCTTTTTGTATCCCTTCTTCTCGGTAGCTCAGCGATAAATTTGAGGACTTATAGCATTAACAATCGGGCTTCGATACCCTCAGTGGGCAGAGCACAGATAGCCAATTGTGTAAGTTAAAAGTAAAATAAGATATTTGTCTCATATGTTACTGGGCATCTTTATCCTTTGAGAAATTAGTACTCCCCTGAATTTATTGATAACATGCTTCTCCGATGAATTTCCTTGTATGCTTTTGTTCAGTGAGTATTCTACTTTGTTACATATATATATATTACTATTATTATTACGAAAACGAGGGTACTTGGGGTCATAAATGCGCATGTTCACTGATGTATGTGTTTGTTGTGGTTTACACTTTTAGTTTTAGAGGAGATTGCATTTTACGAAGAAGTTATACAAACTGAGATGTTATTTTGCCTTTAGAGCCTGACCAATTGATGAGCTAAGATTTCATTATGCTTCCAACTATAAATGGCCCTGCTGGAGCTACTCGAAAAACCACCATATGTAGATATTTTGCTACAAGTGGAACTTGTTTTTACGGGAACGATTGTCAATTCTTACACGCTAACCCTAACGTCGAGCCAAACGATCTGTCGTTATCGTCATTAGTGTTGTCTCAACCGTCATCTATGGCTATGAGTATGAGAGATTTATCGGTGAATAGGTTACCAGAAGGTAAAGTAATTTATGTTTGTGACTATATCTACGTTAAAGCCTAAGGCTGTTTTAAGGAGTTTTGTTTAATAAGTTTTATCATGTAGCATGTTTAATTTTATTTTTAGGTGCAATTCTTACTAAATTGTACAGTGAAAGATAATAAAATTAAACATGTTGTATTCTTACTCTTAGGTTCCAGATTTTTATTTTTATGCAGCCAACAATTTGAAAATGAAATTATGCTCCATTAAATTGTTGATTATGCAGAAGAAATAAAAATTATGCATTGTCACATGGCAAAATTTAAAATTATGCAACCATTTAATTTTATCAAAATCAAAACAGCTTAAAACAACATTTAAGAGGGTGTTAGATAGGATGTATCATTAATGCACTTGCATATAAATAGCAATTTAACACATTTTTTTTTATGAAATAAAAAACTAAAATTCCAAAATTTTTGGACAGGCTATTAATCAGACTGTCTACCCAGCAGATACCACTTGCCAGGACTCTGAGAGACAGCAACAAACAAACTATAAGTCAAATTATAAATCTGATTAAATTGATATAGGCTTGGCTTTACTAAGTCTAGAAATTTAATTTTGATTATGCAATCAACCATGAGCATACAGTCACATTTAATTATGCAGAAATTCCATAAATGCATAATTACATTAACCAAATGTGCATGGGGTCAGTCCATTGGACCATCCTGTATTGGGAAAGGAATGTTGACTGTAATTCAGGATTTACTTCATGTATCTGCATAAAATGTGGTAAGCTTTTAGTAATACTTACAAACCTGTTCTACACACAAAAGAAATGTGTTACAAAAGTATTTGTAATCAAGATATGTCTGTGAATTGCTGACCTCACTCTGACTCAGACTCTGAAAAGTCTGAGTGCAAGGTGATGTTCATGTGAAAAATAAAAGTACTTTTGTTCATCATACAGTATGCACATTGCATTTGCATAACCTTTAAAACCTCCAAAATGCATATCTACAGTTTATTTCCAGTATTCCTTTGTATTGTATCTGGTATGTACTTTCTACCTTGACCTGTTGCAAAATCAGCAGGTTAAAATGAATAGTTGATAGCCCTGACATCAAATACATAATACCAAGTTGAATGGCACTCTGTAAAAGGTTGTGGCTTGTGCACTTTGACCCCTATCCATGTAGCTAAGGTTAATCAGACTATCTAGCTAGCAGGTTGTCAGGACTCCAAGATGTACCAAAAAACAATTAGTCAAAAGTTATAAATTTGGTAAAATTGAACTAATTTTGACTTTTCTTAGTCTAGAAATTTAGATTTTCGTTATACAGTCAACCACTAATTATGCAGAAAATGTGATGGATGCATAATCACATTAATCACATGGCCTTGTATTCTGTTATACAGTCAACCACTAATTATGCAGAAAATGTGATGGATGCATAATCACATTAATCACATGGCCTTGTATTCTGTCACAACAAATGAATTATTATTATAATCAGTAACCCAGTTGACCTATACCATAGTATTAGTTTATAATTGTCTGACTAAACAGTCTGGCATTGTAATTAATTTCTATACTACATTTGCATATCTGGTATCAGCTTGCTTCCTTTCTATGTTCAGAGTAAAATCAAAGGTTTTAAATGTGAGGATAGTTCATGTTGCTTTTGTTAATATTAGCATTCACACTGTTATGGAAGTTACACACTGCCATACCCCATATTGAAGATCTTTGTGCTCTTAAAGTTTAATTTGATCAAGGAGCTACATGGCACCACTCAGTCATAACAAATTTTATACTGTCAGAGTTTGTAGCCTTGTAATAATACTCAACATGTTCAGTTTTAATGACATAGTTTAGAAATAAACTACTGGCATGACTGTAGGAACAAAAATGGCCTTATTGAGAATTTCATTGCAAAAAAAAACTTCTAACAATTAATGTTCTTCAACCTCTGATCAAAGCAAGCTATATTATGGTTCAGTTCCCAATGTATATTTTATCTTCATGAACAAAATAATTAGTACTACCTCTCACACTGAAAAAAAAAGTTGATTAGCTCATCACACATTTATCCAGCATTCACAAACCATCAATATTTCATTTCTGTGCATGGAATCTCTTTTTGTGACTGTAAACTATAGTGTATTATAATCTTGAGAAACAATTTCTGTCACTTATCTCACACATAAGTCTTTTCTTTACTCTCTTTATTAATATCTTAAATACAAATGTAGTGATGAGTTTAATTTCAACAAAATATAAAGAAGATTTTTTTCATAAATAGGTTTCAGGAGAAAGACTTTTACAGTGTTTTACTTCTAGATCTGAACAAAAACTTCTTTTATCAGACTAAACTTTTTCCCACTGTAGAAGTAAGCCTAAATGGGATATAATTTCCAGGGCATCTTACCACTATTTTTAAAAATAAGAGTAACATTAGCACCTCTCCAATCCTCGGGAACCTGCCCCCTGTCTGTTGACCTACTAAAAATAAAAGAAAGAAACTCACACATATGATCTTTGACCTCTTTTCCAATCCTTGGGAAAACCTTGTGTGTCCCTGATGCTTTATCTATTTTAATCTTTCTGTTCATTCCTAAAGGATTAATATATACATGATTCTAGTCAATTCTGACAAGTAATTGTATAAGCAAGCTGAAAGATATAAAGATAGAAACAAATAGATGTCCTTGTTATGTGTTATGTGCTCACATTGATAGATGGACACAGGATGCAAGTCTGAATAGTTTTTCAATATTCTGAAGTCCTTCACTTTCTTCTCTGAATGATTAATTTTCTGCTTTATTTCCAATAATAATAGTAAATTATATTGGTGGTATAGCTGATAAAGTTTTGAGATTCTGTGAGTACAATAATTTTTGTTTTATAGTTTATCCCAATGTCTATGTCTAAATTGTTTATAACTTACTGTTAAAATCTTTAGAACCACAGTACTACTCAGTACAGTTTGGATAATATGATAATTTTAGATGTTGTCAGTGAAAGTACTTTTAGTTCCACAGTAATCTTATTGCTCATAAAAATGCCAATATCAGTTTGATTTATGCTTTCATGAAAAGCTCGACCACTTTTCAGTCACACAAAATTTGTTGAAATCTTTTTAACCTTTCAAGACTTAATTTTATGAATTTAAGAATGAAAGTAAAATAAATTGTGTAACAATGTGTCAACCACACTAATCTGCTATATCCAATGCCACTGAGCTTTTCATCTAGTAACAGGGCTTCTCAGGCCTGCTTGGATATGAGAGACATAGTTGTAATTTAGTTGATATTTATGTTATAAAATTTCATGAAGAACAACTGTTATAGTGTGAACCAGTTTATATGATGAAGTGTAATTTCAATCAATTTTATCTGAGTCATTAAGGTAAGGATTAATAATAAGCATTATTTATTTTAACAACAATTATTTATCAATATTATTTTTGTTTTTCTTGTATTATGTTTTCTGAATGTTCTGAACATGCAGCAACATCATCAAACTAAAAGCAAAAAGTTTCTCCTGCCTGTATAATGTTTAATAAGTTATATTGGCATATAGAATTACATTGTCTGAATATATTATATCAATAACAAAAGTGTGTTTTATATCTAACAGCTCATATCAGTGAAAAAATATACACTATCTGTATTGGTTTGATAAAAATATTTTACTTTTTAAGACAAGAAAAACTTATTAAACACACCACAATTATTCTGAGACAACAAATGAATAACATCTAGAAAATAAAAGTATATGACATCAGAAAAATTTAACTTAGAAATTGAAACTTTAATCCTTGAGTAGATGTGCACAATAAAGATATGGACCAATATCACAAGAACAAATAAAGCAGACCTTTTGAACTTTAAATAAATATCATTGTATGAACTGCAATATCCCTATGAACTAGATATGGCATTTCTTTAAAGTCATTTCATTAGCATTAGGGAAACTTGATGAACATGTTTTCTAATTTAGAAATATGTAAGAGACATGGTATAAGTTAAATGTGACAGTTTTTCTGTTCTTGATAGTATATTAAACAAAAATACTTTTTAATCAGAAAAAGGTAAACTGATCTTTCTAACTGATTTACACACAAATTGCAGGGGTGTGTAATCCATATCACCATATCATAGTGTAAACTAGGGTTGCCAAGTTAGGGATTTTGTTACTAGATCTATCAAATTTTTGGGTTCCCAGAGCAACAGAAGTTTGTCAAAACTACTAGTGACAAATCTAGCAACTTTTACTGCCGACAGTGGGGATACTTAGAGAATGAAGTCGCCAATTTGTTCTGTCACAGAGTCACTCACAAGCAACTCAATACTGTTAACACTTTCAGCACGGGCTTGGTTCCTGGGACCAACCTCATAACCATTTTGTGCTTCTTAGTTATAGTTTTCATGCTATAGCTTTTAAATTAGTAAGCAAATGTTAACAAATTTTGGTACATTATCAGTAAACATTGCAATGCTTTCATACACAAAATATCAAATTTTTTATTAAGTCTTAAGGTTTGTAAAGCAATGTTTTCTCGTGCCTTTTTTTCTTTTTGCATGTTGCCTATCTAACATGTAGTTTTCATTTTAAGATTAGAAATACTTTTATGCATCAGAAAATATGTCCAGATAGCTATCAAACGTTTCTTATCAAAAACTATATTTTATTTGTTATTTTAAGTAATGAATCTCTGTAAGGGTTTGGTAGATTTCACCGATCTCATAACTACCATAAAAATTAGGAAATAAATATAAATTATGCCTCTTTCATTCTAGAATGAACACAAATTATAGCACGAAAACATAAATGTTAAGCTAAATAGCTTTAATCTCGTAACATTATACATTTATATATATTTATTATTTTTATTATATTGACTTTCAGCCATACCTGTCTAACAATACAGAAGATACAATGATGCAGCATATGTGCAATCATGTTACCGTATCCAATAACATAAAACTGACCTTTCGTTTGTACAAAGTAACTTGTCTTGGCTGTGTTTTAGTAAACTAGTATTGTATAAAATAGTGACATTTTTACTATACATATATACGTATAT